ACAATGCCTTTTTCCCGTTAGTAGCTAGCTTGCACATTTTCTTTTTTTCTTTCTTTTCTCCTCCAACATGGGAGGATTTTAAGGAGAGATTGGACAGCCATTTCTCTCAAATGGTATAGGGTTTCCTGCCTGAGCAGGGAATTGGACTGGAAGACCTTCAAAGTCCTTCCAACTCTGTTATTCTGTATTCTATTCTTTTCCCATCATTTCTTAGATATATATATCTCAAGTACATGACTTTTGATAGCTAACAATACTAAAAATAATGCAAAATATAAAAAAAAACATATCATGCATCCAGAAAAAATTATGCAAGCAATCACTCAAGAAATAACCAATAGATGTGCTTTATCACCTACCCAGAGGGCCAAGCTTGTCCCAGAGCCAAGCCTTATGGGAGCCCAATAGAGAGGTTTCTGGTTCATAATTTCTGGTGGGATGATATTCTAGATCAGTGATGGCTAACCTTTTTCTCTTTGGGTGTTAAAAATGTGTGTGTGCAACAGCGTGCGCACCAGCACCCATAATGCAATGCATGCCCCCCTGCACATGCACTAACAACCCCCCTGCCCTCCGCATATGCGCACGTTACTCCCATGCGACCCCTGACTCCCTGCCCATGTGAGCGAGGTGGGATTCAAAAATTTTAGCAACCTGCACCACAGCAGGAGGGGGCATTTTTGCCCTCCCCAGGCTCCAGAGGCTTTACTCGAGCCTCCAGAAGGCTTCTCCCGGGCTCCGGAGGCCGAAAACAGGTTGGTTTTTGCATTTCCGTTAGGCCTGTTTTTCACCCTCCCCAGGCTCCGGAGGCTTTTCTCGAGCCTCTGGGAGGGTGAAAACGGCCTCCCCCGGCCAGAAACAGGCCTGTTTCTGAACTTCCAGAACGCGCACTCCCCGCCCCTGCACACACAACCCTGCCCCCACTCATGATCCCCCCCGCGCATGCTTGTGCATCTTCCGTCCTTGTGCATCCTGAAAAACAGCTGGCCAGTGGGAGGCGCATGTGCACATGCACAATGGAGCTGAGGTGGCCGATGGCTCATGTGCCCGCAGAGAGGGCTCTGCGTGCCAGCTGTTCTAGATGGTAGGAACCTCAACAAAAAAAGGCCTTGGACTTAGAATAACTTTATTGTCACTTTGAATGTACACTAATCGGCATACATTAAAATGAAATTTCATTGCATACAGCTCCCAAAGGGTCTCCACATCTAATATATACTAAAGATGACAAATAAATATACCCACGTATATTATATGACACAAAGAAACAGCACAATCTATTTGGTTGTATACATGTACATGGCAAGAAAAACAAATCTTACAAGTTTGCCAGATGGATGGCATAAGGAACAAAGCTGTTACAGAATCTGGTAGTCCTGCTAGAGATACTTCGAAACCTCCCCCTTCAGGGGAGCCACAGAAACAGACCATAAAGTGTGTGTGTATGTGTGTGTGTCTAACAATGCTTTGAGCTCTAAGCACATAGCACTTATAATCAGTATCCTCAATGACGGGAAATGAGCTTCCTATAATCTTCTCGGCTGTCCTTACCACTCTCTATATGGACTTTCTATCTGAGGCACTGCTGCCACCAAACCAAACAGTAATGCAGTTTGTTAAAACGCTCTCAATCGTGCCTCTGTAAAAAGTGGCCAATCCGTTCATGGTTTGCAACCCTTCACATTATTCATTATTACACCCTTCACACACATTCATTATATCAAATACAGGTAGTCAACTTACAACCACAATTGGGACAAGAATTTCCATTGCTCAGCAAGGCAATTGTTGAGTTGTACCCAATTTTATTCTAATTTTTGCCATGGTTGCTAAGTGAATCACTGCAGTTGTTAAGTGAATCATATGGTCATTAAGCGAATTCCGCTTCCCCCATTGAATATGCTTATCGGAAGCTGGCTGGGAATGGCAATCAGGTGATCCTGGGACACTGCAGCCATCATAAATACATGCTGGCTGTCAAGCACCCGAATTTTGATCATATGAACCGCAGAAATGCTGCAACTGTTTAAGTGACAGATGGTTGTAAGTCACTTTTTCTATGCCACCATAACTTCAAACCCATGCCAAATAAATGATAGTAAGTTGAGGACTACTTTCCTAATTTCAGGTCAAATAAAAAGGAAACCTCTGGAAACATTAGTCTTCAATGGTACTGTTGGATTTTGAGATAAGGAATTCCAGTTACATTCTTCAGAATTATGGCATTCTGAAATGAGGAATATTTCACCTAAAGTCAAACAATATGAATTATTCCTTTAGTTATCTGGATCTTAATTTGGCAGTGATTAGTCTTGGGGAAAACGTTTGGGAGGGAGAGGGAGGAGGATAAGAAGCCCGAAAATTTCAAGTGAAATGTGGCACTGGGGAAAAAAACCAGGTATATTTGTTCTCCCCATACATTGATTGCAACCAAATGATCCTTTCATTTACGGTCCCAATTTATTCACATTTAGAGCCCAATATCAATTCCCAAATTTCTTTAACTTCATTGCAATTTGCATGATTGATCACAAGCAATAAAGATTTCTCTAGAGAGCAGTTCCCCCTCAGGCTTTCTTTCATATTATATTATTGAACCAGAAGCTAAAGAAACAATGGCACAAAGAAGCATTCAAATCTGTATCAAACATGAGATTGCTGAGGTGAGTTCTACTGAAAACAAGAACTTCACATGTATTTATCTTTCTCTGTGAAAAAAATGAGAAACCTTTAGTAGCTGACATTTGATTATACTAGCAAACACCTGGTTTGGGGGAGTGTTCTGAAGCAAACTGGCATAAAATGCTTGACGCAAATAATTCACTCTTTCCATCTGTCTTCTTGGCAGCATCACCTTACCACTTAGAACCTCAGAACCTAAGAAGTGATCCTGTTTTAGACATGGTTCAATACACAGCACTGAAATATGTTTATGTACACCCACATCTACAAAAGATATGTATATAATATGCAACATGATGATATTATCTATTCAGTCATGTCCAACTCTTGGCCAAGTTGACCATTCTATGGGTCAAGATTCTCCACATCTTCTGATCTTGCACTACTTCTTTGAGTTGTTCTATGCTGTAGCTGGTATCAGCTTTGATGGGTTCTTTTGTGGCCTGGTTTCCTTTTACCGCTAACTCTTCCAAACATAATTGCTTTCGCCAGTGAATTCCCCATGACATGGGTGCAATATTAAAACTCTCACAACTGGTTTCCCTTTCTCTTTCACACACAAAAGAAATATAGTAAACCTACATAGGGATGAAGGGACCTAGGCAAGAAATTTGAAGAAAACAAAGAACATATGTCCTAGTCTGCAATTAGATGACAGTATTTGCTCTTTCACATATCCCATGGCTCAGTAGAGTTGATCAACCTTGTATAAAGCAGGGCTGAGGCTAATTAATATTTTCATGTAGTCCATGAGTACTCCAGTTTAAAGTAGAAAATTGAGGAAGCAAGGCAAAAATAAATCAAGAAAAGACCACTGATGGGTCCATGAAGCCAACAAGAAGAGAGTTCAGCTTGAAGAATAATCTTTTTTAAATAATCTTTTTCAAGTATCTTATCTACCACTAGTTTAGATTATCTCTCATGAAGTATCCACTTATTCCATTAATGAACTCCATGAATTTTGAAATAATGTCTCTAAAAGAAGCCTACAAGAGACACCTCCATACTCAAACCTACAAACCAACCAATTAACTGGGTATAAAAAATGAACCTGTTCACTATTCCAGACATTTAATCAGAACTGAATTTCCTGGTGTGATACATTTAAGAATAAACAGAAATTCAGTCATAAAATACATGTTTGTATAGAATAGATTCCAAATTCAATTCTTTGAATTCCACAGTCAAATGAAACTTTTTTTTGAAAAGTATAAAATAGCAAGCAATGTGAAGGATGTCAATTTTGGCTCTTGCAGAACCATTATGAGGTAGAATAGATAGCGCTGTGATAGAGACTTGATCTAAGAGGAATGATCTTACTAATCAAGCTAATAATTCCATTAAGGCTTATAGCATCAAACAATGATGTTTTGGGAAACAATATCAAGACACCTAGAAAAAAGATAAAATGTTGATAAAAAGGAAAAGTTCATTTCTATTTAGTCTCCAAACTGAGATAGTAGTTTCAAGGACAAAATGCCTTCTTTTGATATACCGGTAGTTAATTCTGTATCTAGACACTTTCTTTTTCCTCTCAATGCCATTACAATTCAGATTTGTGCTTCCAGGCTCCTCTCTCTCTCTCTCACACACACACACATCTAAAAAAGGACTTTATCTACAAATATTTTCACAAGGAGAGCGCCAAACGCAAAACGGTCCATTTGTGGGGTGTTGTAAACACATCTCTTCATGTCATCCTCATATTTACCAGAAACTCCGTCCCTAAGTCTGTCACACATTGTGTAAAAGACATTGTGCCAAGTATCACCCCCAAGACATCCCATCAGACGTAAACTGGGAAACTGGCATATCGCATGGGTTAACAAGAGTCTTTCACCTGCACGAATAGTAAACGTTACTATAGTTAGATGTGATGTGCCACCACTTTTTTTTTTTTTTAATTCGGCTGCTCTCTTCCTAGATTTTTTTTGAAACCAGACTAATGGCCACCGTCCAGCTCTCCTCTGTCGTATTAGCGCTACAAGTTCCTCACGTGCTTCCCAAATAGAACTGCTGCTCTCCGTAGGGAGGAACGAGGCAGAGTTATTATTTACCGTTTACTACTAGGCGCTTTTACTGCTTCCCTCTTATTCAAACCGAGACCTTGTTTAGCGCCCCAAATTCTAGGCGACGGCTGCTACCCGCCAAGAAACTTCCCGCCCATTTCTTCCGCGCACCGCGGGAGCCTTGGAAGAGCGAACGAAGCGGGAGGGCCGAGCTGGGAGGTCGTAGTAGAAGGACTTCAAGCGCCGGTTATTGCTGCGGGGCAGCGCGCGCTCGTCGCCCTGGGAAAAGCGCGTGGGTCGCGAGCCTACCTTGAGTACGCCGGAACGCTCTCTATCTACACGTGGATGGGTTTGCGTAGGTGGCTTGAAAAGGAGGACTGTTGCCCCGGAAGACCCACGTCTGGCTTTGCCTTCTCACGGCTTGCCTCCTTGCAACTGTTTGGTCCAGAAGCCGAACACCCAAGTGGTCATTTTTTTTACGCGATTTTGTCTTCTTTTTCTTAGCCAAGAATGTGGTTGGATGGGGGGTGGGGGAGCGGGGCGGGAGATCCATTTTGTTTTCTTCCTCTTGATGGGGCAGAATGCAACTCAGAACTACAAGCATGAGGTTTGTTCGCTTTTTTTGAGCACCCCCATTAAATTCATTGGGTTCCACGCGCGGACTAGTTGAGGCTCGCCGCTTTCACGTGCTGCCGCGTCTCCCCTCTCACCGCACGAGGCCGTACCCCCCATTCCTATTTGCAATCTTTCAAGCTACGCATCGCAACCGTGTGTTACCTAATTCCCTCGCTCGCTCTTTAGCTCGCTCGCGTGTTGGGCATATCGGAAACCTCTTGTTAGGGTAAAAGCCTTTGCAATTGCTTTTAATGCATCGCTGATCCCTGGCCCGGGCATCCAAACGGGAAGAGCCAAGAAGCCCTCGGGATTTCACGTGCCTTCAGGCTGCCGAGGGAAAAAAAGGTAGCTTCTCTGAGCGGCAACAACCGCGCTAAAAGCAGCGGCGGCGGCGGCAGCAAAAGCATCGGGGAAAAGGGGGAAGCCTGGCAGGAGACGCGGCCAGCCCTGGGGCCACGCGAAGGCGCGCTCCGTTGAAAAGCCCGGCTGGGAGGAGAAAGAAGGGGAGGTGAGATGAGGCGAGGCGTCCGGTAAACGTTGCAAGCGACTTTGGAGCCCGTCGTGGAGCCGCCGCGCCTTGCCCCCTTCCCCCTCCCCAAGGCTGCTCCGAGGAAACGGAGCTCGCTTCCGCTCCCCGCGTTTTTTGGTGGAGCGACGGGATCCAATGACCTAGAGCGCTCGTAAGCCATGCGACCCGACGACATCAACCCACGGACTGGACTGGTGGTGGCTTTGGTCAGCGTCTTCTTGGTGTTTGGCTTCATGTTCACGGTTTCCGGGATCAAAGGCGAGACTTTGGGGGACATCCCACTTCTGGCCATCGGACCGGCCATCTGCTTACCCGGCATCGCCGCTATCGCCCTGACGAGGAAAACCGACGGCTGCAGCAAATGGCCCAACGTCAGCTATTGCCCCCCGTGCGGCTGCTGCCGCAAGAAACCCCAGGACAAGGAGGTCCTGGAGTTGCTGAGGACCCCTTCGGACCTGGAGTCCGGCAAAAGCAGCTGCGACGAGCTGGCCCTGAAAGCCCGCGACGCTGAGGTGGCTTGCGGGGGGAAAGACTCACTCGCCACCCCCGCCGCGCGGGACTGCGTGGGCTTGGACCCCAAAGTGGCTCAGGAGGAAGTGTTGAGGTACTTGGAGAAGTGCTATCCGGAGATGCCCGGCGGGAACATTTTTGTGGCCGAGGCTTCTCCTTACAGTGCCTTAGACCAGCCGCGGGGGGAGTCCCCTGGCCTCGAGGGGGCCGCCGCCGCCGCCTCCCCCTGGCCGGGGAAGGACGATTTGAACGTCGTCCCCAGCGACAGCATCATCGTTTGCTCCTACACGGAGAGCAGCCCTTACGACAGGTACTGTTGTTATATAAACCCCACCGAAGACCTCACTTCGGATCCCCAGGCGATCGTTTGAACGAACCGTCCCGTCTTTGCCAGCGCTCGGACTTTCCTCTTTCGATTTGGCCCCTCGTTCTTTCAAACGGGGACAAATGATACTGATGATCCACCCTTCCGACTCTTCCCTCCCCCAAATAACCATAATGGTAATAATAACATAATGATAATATTATAATTATATATATTAGCTGGTATTGCACTGCATGGGACTAGCCTCCTAGCTCAGCTGTTAACTTTAAAACCTGGTAGGGGACTGATAACGCGAACCTTTGGTGCCTGAAATACTTTTCCTTTTCGTTCCAATGCAAGTAATAATGGCTTATTCAAGGAGAATCGATATTTGGTATGGTGAGTTCTGAGCAGCGAGACTTCAGTTATTTTCTTATACAGGGCTAAAGAAATGGGGTTAATTCCTGGCACTTGCCAAGTTCAAAGTTTGGAAATGGACTGGCTGCTGTTATTCATGTCTAGAGAGATTCTCAGTCATCTAGGCCATGGTTGTCCCAAAGGTGCTTTTTCAAAAGGCAACTGGGCTTTGTTTTTCCATGAAGATGTTTCTCTTCTCATCCAGGAAGCTTCTTCAGTTCTCACTGAAGAACTGAAGACGCTTCTTGGATGACAAGCGAAACGGCTTCAAGGAAAAACAAAATCTAGTTGCCTTTGGAAAAACCAATCTTTGGATGTGGTTATTAACTTTTGCAAGTTAATATCGAGGGAACTTCGTTAAGATCCTTGAAGTTGTGTCCTCCCCGCCCCCCCTTCCCTGCTCCAACTTTTACCATGTTAAGTAAATGCAGCATACTTCAAAGAGTGTTGTGTGCAGAAATCAAAGCCTGAAGACCATATCCGTGAAGGGAAATGAGTGAAACTACATTAATACCTGAGTTTTCAAACTTTATTAATATGCCATTACCCTAGTTTCCAACTTCCCTTTTCTCTCTCTAGTATGCTCAGTATTGTATGTCATGCAATCTCCCTCTTCTGCATAAGGTCTCCAATGAAATGGAAATAATGATGGAAGCTAAGAGTTCTAGTTTTGAACTTGCACTAGATTTTGACTTGAGGCATACTTGTGTATCCTACTGTGACTATTCTGAATGTACAGTTAAATTAAAAATGTTATGTAACCAGCAATGCAATCTGACAAAATCAAGCCATTTGCATTCCATTAGTTTTGTGGGGAATTTTGAATATGTTGCTAAATCTCTCCAGTTGAAATTTGTGGCATTCAAAAGGGCTTAAATTTGGGTGGATTATCCTCCTAGCTTTTTTTGCTCCCCTATTTTTTGATACAAGGTTAGAAGTTTTATTGGTCATGCTACAAACACCATGTAACTTCATAACCGTGAATTCTTATGATTCAGCATAGAACAAAATAAGCTTCTCAGAAACTGCAGAATCAGCAAACCTCATATACATATTTCGGTACTCTAAATGTACATGCAACATCATTTCGTAGGTATGTTACATATTTAATCCATGCAGGATACCTTACAGGGATGAAATGTGAGGAACAACATATTTAATAAATTTAGAACAATTTGCACTTGGCTTTAGCTTTTTAAGTTTGCCTAAACCAGAAATGTCTTCTAAAAGGTTTCCCAGTTTTAAAAGCCTCGTATCTTAGTCACACGTATTTTATTTCTGATAGATTTGTTAAGCTTCCTGTGATCCATCTCAGTGGAAAGCAAGAGGTAATCATGCACAATCATCCTTCGGTTTTGTTGAGAGCAGTTGACATTTTAACCCTTGTGCAGGTGGTCCATCTTAACAGATAAATGAAAAATACCTGCAAGCACTTTGTGGGAAACATGGTTAAGAAACATTTATTTCAAAGCAGAATATTGTGTTTTCTGTTATGAATTTTTAGATTTCTATCCTGCACAGCAAGCACATCATGCTTCCTCCTCCCACTTTTCCCTACTATTAACATCCTTGTGAGGTAGGTAGGGCTGACAGACTGGGTGGCCCAAAATCACCTAATGAACTTTTGTGGCTGAGGATGGACTTCCCAAAGCCAGGCCAGCATCTTAACCACAATACTACACTGCCTGTTGTTAATATGCATGTGATATTTCTTACTTGTTATGTAAAATTGTTACTGAAATAGGAAGGTAGAATTGGAACAAATCATTCTGTTGGCCCTTTGCACATTTTCAGGGAACAGCTAGAAACACCAGATAAAAAGTGAGTAAGCCTACTATACATCATCATCAAAGCACAGGGCTGCAAAAAACTGATTATAAAGAGAAGGGAGCAAGATTTATCCCAGGACCACAAGTGGCTTTCCAGCATTTGTTTTTCGGGCCCCAAAGTTCCCCAAACAGAGCAAGGCCAAAGTTGGTCTCTTATAGGTTCAAATTGATAGCAAATGTTCAATGCACCAGCTTTACCCTTTCAAACTCCAGTTCTTCCTCCCCAGGGAACAGCAATATTCTCTGTGGCATGTTCTGGACATTAAAAGTCAAGCCCTGATTTCTTTAAAGACTTGAATGATTTAGCACCACATTAGCTGAAGGAGCACTTTGTCCTGTAAATACCCAATGAGATATTAAGATCTTTTAAGATCTAATAAGGCCCTCTTCTAAGTTCCCATCACAGCAAAGTATTTGACATGGGTCTCAGGGGGCGGGGATTTTTATTTTTATTTTTATTTTTTTTTGCAGTGGTACCCCATTTGTGGAATTCTCTCCCCAGAGAGACTCAGCTAACATCCACTTGAGGATCATTTTGACACCAGATGAAAATCTGTCTATTTCCCCTGGCCTTTTTACTGCACTTTAATTGTACTTTAATTTGTATTGTTTTAGCTTCATATGATTGCCTTGCTGCTGTCTAGCTTGCATTTTATTTGAATTATTTTTTGGGTATATGTTTTTATTAAAATTGCATCTTTTAGTATGTTTTATTGTAAGTCACCCAAGAGTTTGGCTATTGAGCAATTTAAAATTTTTAATAAACAATAAATAACACTTTAACCCAAAAACACCTACTCTCCCAAACTATTTATTCTTCAACAGAACCTTGTTTGGTGCCCATAATGTACCTCCTTGGACAAATATCTGGAAAAGGGAAAATTTATTAAGAAAGTAATAATATGCTTTTAAGAAATCACAGAAAGCAATGTGTTCTTCTTTGGGGTGGCTCAGCCTTTCTATTTGCACTATAGGAATAAATGTACTGATCTACTTTGGTGGCTTGTTTTAAAAATTACAGTACAAGTTTATTTAAATAAAACACTTTGAATGTTCAGAGTAGATTTATGCATGCTAACGTAACTCTGTGTGAGTTTGCTGGTTAGTATGTATAATTTTAGTAAGATAGTTAATTTGGGAGGGAAATTATTTAGAGTGCCCTTAATAGCCTAATTGAAAAATTTGTATAGGTGCAGGACCTGTTGCTGAAAGCCAGTGAAATCATAAAATGTTTCATTTAAATATGAGCCTTGAAGTTTAATTATAGATTAAGTTTAAATTTAAAGAGACTACAAAAGATAAACTGAAGGGTTATAAAACTGACTGGATATTGGAAATGAGTATTTTATTTTAAAATTCTGATAACATTTTAGGAATGAAATGGTGAATTTTTAAAATGTATTGATTAAAATATCAAAAATTTCATAATATTAATTAAACATTTTCCCTTTTAAACAATTTAGTGTACAACTCATAATTTTAACATTCGTGTAATCCATTCTAAATTTTAAAATGTATATTAATGATATTGGAGAAATTTATAGTAAGAACAATCGAAATACATGTAATACAAAATAGCTTATAAACTCTGAAAACAGGAAAGAAAAAGACAACAAAAAAAAATTCAACAAAAGTATCAAGAAGTAGAAGCATAGTTTTAAATCCTATCATGAGATTGTAGTCCTATGCTTATGGAAATCAGTGAAACTTTCAAGGTAGAAAGCAACAGAAAGAAAAGTATTGAAAATGTGAAATGTTAATGTATTCTTAAATAAAAAGAGTTATAATTGCTATTATAATAAAGAACAATTTTTTATCTCTTAACATCTGAAAGCAACCTTTTTTCTCCATCTGACTCCAATTAATGCAGATCACAAAGGAAAGCAAAACAGAAAGCAATTTCATATATTGGCTATTCATTGAAAAGAAAGTTGGAAGAGAATAGAAGTTACAAGAAGCAAAAACATCCTGCAGAGAGAAATTACAGACAAAATGAATCTTTAGAAAGTACTGCAGATAAGGAAACAATTACTGAAATATTACTGACTTACAATTTGGAGTCTTATGGGTAAAGCTCAATATTTTTTCTAATTATAACAAATAGGCAAATAACTTTGGCCTAACTAATCTAATACAAAAATATGTAGTTACTATATAAGACTGCAATATTTTTCTCCATTAAATCCAAGAGTATCAAGTTCTTCAACTCAACACAAATCAGCATAAAGAGAAAAAGAAGGGAAATAAAACGTAATGATTGCTGAGTGCTCTAATAAATGAGAATTTTTTTCAGAGGGTGTTTTTCATAACATACAGAATCTCTTTAAGCATAATTCATATTTTCTCAACCAGTCAAAGTAACATCAGTCTCTGGTCTGATCCAGCAGGACTTCTCTTAATCACTAGGGGACTTGAGCATCTTTGAACGCATGTGCATTTAACTGATGTTACACAGTTCTGTAATGGGAGTGTCACTTACTTATGGCAGTAGTTTTTTAGGAACAAAGGAATACTTGCAGGAAGAAGCCAAGCTTTTGCTTCAGGAATCAGACTGCTTAGCCAACACCCCAAATTCCAAGAAAAGCCAGAGTGATTTTGAGGTCCTTGGTGAAAAAAGCATTGCATCCTCCAGTAGCAATTCAATAGGAATCCAACATCCCAAAAGTGAATTAAACAATGCCAACACACAATGCTTATCCTCATACAAAAAAGGAACACAACAGTATAGACAGCATCACGACTTTTTCTCCCATTTGTTTTCTAAAGTGTTTGCATTCAGACCTTGCATTTGTGCCTTTACTCGGTGTTTGTTGCCAACTTGGAACCCTTTCAGCCTCCAAAAAAAGTTCTGAATATAATAGAGGTAAAGAATTATACCATCATGTATGAGTTTTGATACCGTGCCTAGAAAAAAAAAATCTTAATAAAACTGATTTGGACAGCACATCATACACAAACTGCCATTTATTTCATTGTCTCCTATTTTTTCCACATTTTAGGAAACATGAGTTCCCAACCGAATAGAAATGGGAAACTAAGCAAGCTTGTTAGTTCCAAATTCTTGTGTCCTCTCTAACCTTGCCCAGTAATTGTGTTCTAAGGAAGGAGAGTCTAAAAGTCTAAAAGAGATTAACTTTATCCAGTACAAACCACTGTGAGTTTCTACATATAAACTATGGAATATGTTCTCCCAAACAATCATGTCCTCTGGGTAGCTGTTAACAGGGATGGTGTATAAGGGACATTACAAGGGGAAAGAATGAAACCTGTTAAGTGAAACATTGGCAGCTATGTGCCTTTTTGTTTCAACTTGTCATTAGGGTAAGGGGGAAAGTATTGATTACAAATGGGTTAATTGGAGAAATGAAACTTCTACAGTTCCACTGAACCTTGTGAAAGTCTGGAAACTTTTCAAGGACATCTTAACAGGTGTGAAAAAGAAGGCAAATGGTTCCCATAACAAAGAGAACTTATTTACATGGTCTATGAGGAAGCCTGGGGTTTGGCTGGGAAAATCATTGTTTAATACTGTGAACTGATGCCTGAGAATGTCAGGGTTAGTTTTATCTTGCCATTACCATGCAATATATTCAATAAACAGTAAGCTTCTCAGAAATGAAATGATCCCGGATTTTTATTTACTCAAGCTGGATGTTGACAGAAACCTACTCTTGACTTTCACGATTGTATGATTCCTGATAGCTCTGCCAATCATAGACAGCAGTGAGAGCTACTTAACAGCTATATTTCAGTAATAATCACAGCAACCTTGGGGTTGAATGTGAATTGGAATAAGATCAGTGGTGGGTTGCTACCGGTTTGCCCTGGATTGGGTGAACTGGTAGCGGCGGTGGCAGGAGGCTCCGCCCACCCGCCTGGACGCTCCTGCGCATGTGTAGAAATGTTGCAAGCGTGCGAGCACCCATGAGCAAACAGGTAGTGACGAGTTTTGAAACCCACCCCAAATAAGATTATACATTGTGCTAAACCATAGTTCATTTTAACCATGTTTTGTTGAACAAGAACTAGTGGCCTAACACAAGCTACAAAGCATCGCCACAAAATTACAAGGACTGCACTCACAATTCTTGCTAAGCTACAACCACTGGCAAAATGAAAATGATATGTATCCTCGGGTCTTCAGAGAAAATAACAGGCTAGCTATAAATAAACAGATGTATCAAACTGTTAAAAAACTGTTTAAAAAAATAAACCATAGCTTGATATAGCATTTGAATCTTCACAGAGACTACTTGGGTTAATATATGAGCTGAGAATTGCATTGGTTGTATGGTTTGTTTAAAAAAACAAGAACCTTGAGATAACTCAGATCCTTCCTGCTTATAATTTTTTAAAAAGCTAGAGAGATCAGCCGTCTAATAACATTCTTTTGAAATGGATTTGAAAATGGACCGTTCTATACAACACCAGGAATGATACCAAAACCACTCTGGTTAATAGCGTCAGAGGTTGCAGATGGGCTTAATCCCTTCTTCTGAATTATTCCAAACTTTTTCCCTTCCAGCCAATATGTTATCATGTCGCCTTTTCCCTAAAATTAAAAACATAATAATGGACCATTTCAGTAGTGTCAATAGCCATACTTCGTTTCTGAGAACATTTGCTTTACACATTATGACAACAGAGAAGCAGACTAGCCTACTGATTTTTAAAATTAAGTTTGAATAGAGTTACAGGCGACATTAATCAACTCAAACATGCATTTTAATTAACAGAGCTGCAAGTAAAGGTTACAAGGAGGGTATGAAGTAATTTTATTTTCTGCTAACCTAAAATTCAGTTGAGTCTTAAGTTAATTTGAAATGAAACATTATTTCCTATTCTTCTCCCCCTTTGAGGACTAAGGATTGAAATAATTTTGAGAAGTGGCTTAGATAAGCTTCTGAAATAAGGAGGGGTAAAACACATTTTGAAAATTCTGCCGATTTTCTCTTAATAAGCCATCTGGGTGGCTTTGGACTAGTCACTCCCTCTCTCTCAGCCAATTCACCTCACAGGGCTGTTGTGGAAAAATAGGAGGAGGATGTAGTATTGTGTGTGTTTGCTGTCTTGAGTTGGATATTATTTATAAAAATAATAAAGGTAGGATATTAAAAAAATATGAACCAGCCTTTTTGTCCATGTCCAATGTAAATTCCTCTCTCCCTCCCCAGTTTGTGATTAACAAGAAGATAGATAAGATTTATTGTCCCTTTCATGAAATTCTTATGCACGCTCTCTTAGAATAGCTAATTTCTTTTTATCCAAATTAGAAAACTAGCTTCAGAACTTGTTCAGGAATGTTAAGTCAGATACACGGGGCTCAACAACCTTGGCTGTCTTGATGTTGTTAGTTATTAACTAAGTAACTGATTGATTTACTGAAGATGCTCCGATTTGTCAATCAAATCACTGGTCACCAACAAGTAGTGAATATTTGCTGTTTGTAATAACCGAGTTTTATTTTAGAATGAAACTGTGCAGATTCATCAGAACTGTGTTGGTCTTGTACCATCACATGCAAGTGTCCTGCCCCCATCGGAGCCTAAATCTGCAGAGGAAGAGGAGCTGGAACTGGAGCTGATGGAGATAAGGGAGCGGCTTCATTGGAAGAATATGGGGAAGAGCAAGCCGAGTCAGGCCAGGGCCTTTCAGGATTGGGATGGCTTGTAGGCAAGGAGGAACAGGGGCAGAATGACCAAAAGAGGCTAACCAGTGAACAGGAGAGACAGCTCAGGCGATAAGCAAGGACCACCACCCCAATCCTCGACCACGGAAAGTGGAGAGAAGGCGGGAACAGCGCAGGCTGACCCAACTACTCGGGAGGAGAGCGCCCCGCCCCTCTCCACAAGGCACATCTGGGGACTGAGACTTAAGGAGACACTGTGGGGGAAGGGCATTTGTTGGGAACAAACACTGAATTCATAGAGTGTTGTGTGCCGTTACCGATGCTGGACGTTTCCTGGAGTTCTTGCTTTGTTCCTTTGCTTCCTGGATTAATTGACTGGTTCCTTTGCTTCCTGGACTAATTGACTTATTCCCTTGCCCTGCTGGATTTCTTATTTGCAGCCATTGTGCTCACAGCAATTGTGCTGGACTACTTGTAGCCAGAGGCTGCTGGAGGTGTGTATGTGTGGGTGTCATCACTTTGCTCTGGGACTTGCCAGAAACATGGGGAGCGTTTGGGGAACATTTTGAGCAATAAAGGGGGGCGGGGTTGAACTATCAGCTGACTGTGTTGCCTCTGTGCCGTGCCTGGGTCATCACAGAAAGTTGTTCCAACAACCCATATGCAGGCTTTGCATGGCACATATTCTTTAGTGCTTCACTGGATCCAGTTAATGAATGCAGCACCTCTGATATATCTCTGATCGATCATTCTTAATAAACGCCCTACCCCCTGACAAAAGGTAATGCTTGTGAGGGAGTTACGGCTTTGTTAGGGAGAAAATTGGAACAAAAGGAGATATTAACCAGACAGGCAGGAGTAAGCAAGATTCTAGGCAATGAATATACTGAGGGAAACAAACTTAAGGAATTGAATAGGGAGAAAGAAAGAGCCATCATCTAAACCCAGTTAATACACTCAGGAAATTAAAAGAGTCTGTCCTGGTATCTGCCTTCCAGCTATTTCTTTCTAGTTTCTATGATAGGGCTGTTGAAATCTGGAAGTAAAAAGAAAAGGACATAGAGTAATTCTATGTAGTAATTTAAACATTAGATAAGAAATGGGGAGAGTTTAAGATCTAGTACAGTGATGGCTAACCTTTTTGCCATCGCGTGCCAAAAGCGTGGGGAGCAGGGGGTGTGTGCATGTGCATGCCCACACCCATAATTCCATGTGCCCCACCCTCGCGCATGCGTGCGTGACTCCCCTGGTACTCCCCCCCTTTTGGCACGTAATGGCCTGGTGGGCCTAGTAGGCCCGTTTTTCGCCCTCCCCAGGCTCCAGAGGCTTTCTTGGAGCCTGGAGAGGGCGAAAATGGCCTTCCCCACCCCACCCCCCGGAGGCCCTCCGAAGACTGGAAATGGCCTGTTTCCCAATTTCTGGTGGGACCGGAAATTAGCTGGCTGGCGCACGCATGCGTGCTGGAGCTGAGCTAGGCAACGCTCACGTGTCCACAGATATGGCTCCGCATGCTATCTGTGGCACACGTGCCATAGGTTCGCCATCACGTATCTAGTAGTTCTACCTTGGGCATAAAGCCAACTTTTGAGCCAGGCACTTTCTCTCAGCCCTAGGAAACAGGCAATGGCAAACCATTTTGAAACAAACATACGGCAAGAAAGAAGCAATCTCAAGTGGATGTGCCTTCAAGGCAAGGCAAGGCCAAGGAAGAAGTCGAGGAGAGGGAGTCTTCTTAATCAAGAATCTGCAGGCTGAGCATTTTTTTTAAAAAAATTGCTGCATTGAAATAAATTGGGTGGGTGAGAGGGATACCTTTGTCTTTGGCACTTTTGATAGCTATAATGAAAGTTGATCGGTTGAAACTCTCCTACTTTGGTGAGAGACAAAACATTTCTCTATTTTCTTCAACCGTATTTTATAGCTACTTCTTCCAGGATTATAGCTTGAGGTTAAAAATAGCTTCTGGAGAACCTCAGCACAAATTAGGCTCTAGGGTGATAATATCTCTCAATACTTTGACCAAACTGCAATTCCCAGGGTCCCTGGAGGTAGACATTAAATGCAAATTGGCTTAAGGAGCGATTCAAACATAAATGCAATTCATATTTCAAATACGGACAGGAGGGTTAAAACAAAATCTGCTAAAGAATGACCATTCTTTTCCCATTTGGGGAAAGCTTGAACATATTTACCTTGATTTGCAAATTCCCCCGGCACACCAGTACATACTCTCCAATCTGTTGCAGCAGCTGGTATGTGCTTGAACTGCACTGTATTTTGAGAGCTAAAGGGAAAATGAGAAGCAGTGTTGCCATTGTTTTCATAGTTGAAAAATCCATTTTCAAAGATAACGAACAATAGGTATCCTAACTCTTAAAACAGCTCATGCTTCTACTATTATCCTATCCTTCAGTTTACTTTGAAAGCATCTTGGAATACACATGTGGCTGTCAACAAAGGCAGTTAACCCTTTTATGAAAATTAAGAAATGGGAAAAGCTTAATATGCTTCATTTCAAGACATGGGGTTAAATAAGATTAAAGAAGAAGCTCAGTAAAAGCACTAATTAAATTTCATGGTCTAACCGAAGAAGAGAATGGTACCTGTTCATTTGAAAGGGCATCTACAGGAAAACTCTGACATAATATATCTAGGAAAGCACTTGGTAAAATACCACATAATTTTCTGATTAGCAACTAGTTACTATTGATTGGGTGCAGTGGTGAAATCCAAATTTTTTTACTACCGGTTCTGTGGGTGTGGCTTGGTGGGCGTGGTGCGGCAGGGGAAGGATACTGTAAAATCTCCATTCCCACCCCACTCCAGGGGAAGGATACTGCAAAATCCCCACTCCTGGGGAAAGGATATTGCAAAATCTCCATTCCCACCCCACTCTGGGGCCAGCCAGAGGTGGCATTTGCCGGTTCTCCAAACTACTCAAAATTTCTGCTACCGGTTCTCCAAACTGTTCAAAATTTCCACTACCGGTTCTCCAGAACCTGTCAGAACCTGCTGGATTTCACCCCTAATTGGATGGCATGTCTATATTGTAGATCTACAACCAACTTAAAAAGCAAAATTAAAAATATTCATCAGTGGTTGAAATGAAATCAAAGGAAGCAAACTGAGCATGTGGTATTTGGTTCTGGCCACAACACTGTATTCTACATTTTTATTAATCACTTGGATGAAAAGGTGAAAAGGGAACACTTATTTAAATTTGCAGGCAACACAAATTACATGAGAAAGTCAACATTCTAGGGACAGAAGCAAAATTCAAAATGATCTTGTTAGATTAAACATGTGACTTGAAAATAATAAAATGAAATTTAGTAGAGTTTCTTGGTCAAGAAAAAGACATCAAAAGTACAAGTATAGAATGGAGGAAATTAGTTTACTAATAATATGTCAGAAAAGATCTTAGAATAGCAGGTGATCAGAAACTGAATATGACTTAGCAGTGTGAACTGGATTTAAATAGGATAAATGATGTTCTACATTTCATTAATAAAACTACGATTTCGAAATCATGGAAAGAACTCAGAACTCTTGATCAGAACTCTTGAGTACTATGTCCAATTTAGGACACTGTATTTAAAAAAAGATGCATAGAAAAAGAACCAGATTCAAGGCAAGAGAACAAGAAAGTTTAGAAACAAAATCATATAATGGACAAAGAGGAGATATGTTGGCATTTTCCAGTATTTGAAGGAATATCACACAAAACAAGATTTGTTTTTTATTGTTCCAGAGTCCCAGACACAATAATAGATAGGAATAAAATTTCAGTGAAATGATAGGAAAAACTAATGATAAGAAGAATTTGACAGCAGAAGTAGATACAAAGGGAGGTAATAATCTTTGTTTCATTGGTTATTTTCAAGCAAAATCTGGACAGTCAACTTTCACAGAGTTGGGGACTTCTTCCAGCTCTATGATTCTCTAGCAGAGCTTTCCCCAACTCTATTGTTTTGAAATGCATTCCTCAACTTCAAGAATTCTTCAGAGGACACTATATTAGGAAAAATTAATCTAGAAGATAATGCCCAGTGTTTGACATTTTTTTACTGAGTATACTGCCTCCCAGTAAAGAGAGGAATTTGCTGCTCTAAATTTGTTAATCTAAGTCAAGGGTGGGGAACTATTGCCCTTTTATAACTTGTGGCTCAGGAATTCTGGGAGCTGAAGTCCACAAGTTTTAAAAGGGCTACAGTTCCCCACCTCTGATCTAAGACAGGGATTTATGACTGTTTTCTATGGCTTTCTTAGCCATATTTGTAGTTTTGTTATGATAGTTTAGGATGACAAAGCCTTGCAGGTAGTCCTTGACTTATTACTAATGGTTTTCAAGTTATGGCAGCCTCAGGAAAGCTGCTTTACGGGTCATAAAGCGTAAGGCACTTCTAGCCATTGTAAAATGTTGCACTGGGCCTCCCAGTTACATGATTTCATTTGTGGGACTTAGCATCCAGCGTGCATTTATGACCAGTTGCAGCATCCTGCAGTCATGTGACTGTGATTTATGACATATTTTGCTGGTTTCCAGCATTTTATTTTTTGCCCGTTTCTTGCAATCAACCATATGATTCAGTCCATATGATTCAGTTATAACCATGTTATTCACTTAATGACTGCATGATTCAGGTTTTTGACCATACGATTCACTTAACGATTGCCATAAAAACAGTTGAAAAATCAGGTCCAATCACAAGGGTGCATTGACTTACAACCGCAATAACGTACAGCCGAAATTGACCCAAATGTGGTTATAAATTGAGGACTCCCTGTACTTTATTACAGAAAGGTACAACAATTTTTCAAACAACTCTATATCTCTCTCTATAACTCTATATCTGAATTAATCAAATAATAATAATAATTTAATCACAAGATCCCAAAGACTGCAAAGAACAGCATGGCAAACCAGCAACAATGGTGAATTGGAAGATTTGCAAGAAACACCATTTGACTGCAGGTAAGAACTGGTGGGACCATAAAATAGAGAAAGTCATAGAAAATGAAGAAGCTAAAGTGCTCTGGGACTTTAGAATTCAAACTGACAGACACCTGCCACGTACGGTAACAACCCAGATTTAACAATTGTAGATAAGAAAGACAAAAAAGTCTGGATAGTGGACATAGCAGTACCTGGAGACAGACAAAAAGAAGAGGAAGAACTGGACAAAATATAAAATTCAAAGACTTACAAATAGAAATAGAATGACTGTGGCAAAAAAAGCAAAGTTAGTACCAATACAAATAGATGCCTTGGATGCAATCGCAAAACAACTGGCGCACCATTTGAATACCATAGGCATTGATAAATTCACCATCAGTCAATTGCAAAAGGAACAATTTACATCCTGCAATGATGCCTCTAACACCATCAAACATCCACATCTGCCTATTCCAGGTCCTTGGCAATGCCTCAATAGGCGGACAAAATCCAGTCCGAACATCTGGCTGACTGTGCAATGAATAAAAATTCAAGTTATATAGCCACCCATCTCAGCTGTGATTAAGGAAAGTAGACAATAATAAAATTTTAAAATGAAAAACACAGCAGCCAAGATCATTAACCATCATCCACATAGCCAGGAGAAAACACACAAAACCAGAACCAGGGCCAAGTCTCTAAGGCCATACGGAAGACCAGCAGGATCAGGACCCACTTAAACTCTGAGGGATAATGTTCAAGGAGGCAGGCACCATACAGGAATACCTCATCCTCTGTGCCCTGCCACCCACAATTCCTTAGCCAAAAAGACCTGAAAAATTCCCACTCTGCCAGACTAAGTCAGGAAAGAAATCTGAAGTGACACCAACTCATAGCGCACTGCTCGATTGTACTGTTAAATACTGTACTTCACCTTCACTGGTAGATTCCATCCTGGAGGCTGTGTTGACTGTGTCCCCAAATAGACAATACCGTGGCATTTTGGTTCCAACAATTCCTGCCACAACTGGACCTAAAGAAGACAAGTAGAAAGATTCCTTTAGCTCTTGCATTTCCATTACAGTTTATCACAATGGAAAAACTAGGCACATAGGCTACCTATATGAGGAGTAATTGCATCAAAGAGAACTTAAGAACAGGGAGCAAGATGGCAAAGAGAGAAGCAGGATAACAAGCGTTGACCAGAATGACATCATTCTAAGAAGAAAGCAGATGCTTAGCTGCACTTGGAAAGAAAAGATAGACGGTACCCCACTAGTGCAATAATTCGGAATGCAGTCTAAGAAGTTGCTTGTAGTCAATAAATTGGTTGGTTGGAAGTAATCTAAATTTACTAAGCGAGTCAAGTGAGGGCAATTCAATGACCAGTTCAAATGCTAGACTAAAAGATTTAAGAACGTGAAACATGATGATCATTTACTTCCTACTAATGACTTTGTGCCAATTCCAAGGATTATAATACTAGTTCCCATTACCACTTCTTCCCTATTATGAATGAATGAAACCAATCAATCTGCTGCCATTTTGTCACTAGATAAGTGGCATGGCTAGTGCTTCCAGCACCCCTATTTCACCAATCCAACATTCATTACCAGCATTAGTCACGGAGGTGAACAGCCTAATACACCGGTCTACAAATTTTGGGAAATTATCGACCTCCGTGATAAAATGTGTTAATTTTATATATTTTGATTAGATGAATTAGAAAACAGGTGATAAAGGTGCTGGTTGGCTAAGGTTTTCATGGTAATTCACAATCAAGATGTACACACAGGCGAGTATATTTGCCTACAAGGGAGGGAGGTGTCTAATGATCATGATGCCTCGTAACTTCTCGACAAAGTACAGTAGAACAATGAAAATGGCACCACATGGAAGTGTATACATTTATCTTCACTTTGAGAACAGCAAGGCAGATGACTATGAAAAACACGTGGAAAATTTGCTTAGGTCCTATAAAGCACTTGGTTCAGACATGTCACTAAAAATTCACTTCTTACACTCGCATTTAGACTATTTCCCTTTGAACTGGGGGACAGTGAGTGATGAGCATGGGGAGAGATTCCATCAGGATATTGCAGCATGGAGAAGAGATTCCGAGGGAAATGGAGTCCGTTGATGCTTGCCTATTACTGCTGGACTCTCCCCAGGGATGATCCTACTGAAGTTTACAAGAGAAAAGCCAAAAGGCGCCGTTTAGATACCGAATAAAGATGGAATCTTGTTGTTTAATCTGATGTTAGAGTTTGTCAGTTTTTCATGCAAAAAGCATGAAAATGTTACATGAAAAACCAATAAATGAATGGAACATTAGGTTATTGGTATCAATTAAAAGATAAATTTATGATGATTGGTGTGGCGCCATTCTCATTGCTATATCACATTTTGCAGAAAAGTTATGGAGCCTAATCATACATCCCTCTTATAATTTTTGAATTATTTTGATGGAATTTTGACCTGAAGCTACATATCTTGGAAACTGGAGCCAATTAATACTCAGGACTTCCTTTTCCTTTATTAGTGACCCAATTCTGGTAAAATTAAGCTACTTTCATTTCTGAGGCTTTCTCCTTGTAGACCAGTGATACCTGAGTGGATTCCTGCTCGAATTTTAAGCTGGGCCTCAGGCTTGTGTGGAATCCTAAATGTTTTGCACACCAAAACAAGCTCCAGAGCCATGCTTGCAATTTCACTGGCATGATGAATGCCATTCTCTCTTGGCACTCCCGATACTACCATATCTGAAAATGACAATAAGTACATAAAAGGGGTAAATTATAATTAACATTCATATCACAGTTGCAATTTCACACATACTTATAAATGAAACACAATGTGAACAACAATCCGTAGCATTAGGTGGCACTAAATGGCATTCTCATAGTCTCTATCAAAAATCAATAGCAAAAGTAAAGCATTTATTTATAAAAACTATTTCTGAAAGTTTTATACAAAAAGTAGTAATTATTTGTTCGAGAAGAGCTTTGCATTTAAGAGAAAGAGTTCCTGGGGAATTTGTATTAATTCATAAATATAAAATATAACAATTTTTGGCATGATCAAACATTCATTATGTTGGGAAACCATGAATGGAAATGGACAGATTTATAAGTATTTAAAGTTTGAAAAATAATTCTAAAGTACCGCCCTATAAAACCTTCAAACATACCAGATTTGCACATGCTTATACACAAAACACCTCGCACACCAGGAAATCAAAATCTTCAGATTACTGAATTAGAGCAGCCATTGTTAAGAGGTTTTCGCCTCCTATAGAGTTAGCCAAACACAAAGGTTCTTTAATCAAAGCACTGGCATGGCTAGATGTATCTATCTCATCTTGTGCTGTATTAGTATTTTAAATAGTTACATCTCAAATCTGTCAATCTCTCATTACATTAAAATGATTTATTAAAATACAGATATCAAGCTGTTTTATGACCCAAATAATTCTGAAATATCTAAAACAGACAAAAGGGCTTCATAAGCTGTGTAAAAGGCAAAGCCAGTTTTGATGTGTATTTTCATTATCCGAACCCAAATGATGGCACCGTTTGTGAAATGCATTGTAAACATTAAACGTGCTTTCTTTGCATTCATTAGTTGGATCTAGTTTACAATAATGGTAATTAAGTTAGTCTTTATTAGCATAATCCCGGCAACTTCACTGAGTCAATTTGAAATATAACTATGCCTAACTCCATAGTTATGCTTCAAGTTGATTCAGTTAAATTGCTGGGATTTATGTTAATTCATAACATAAATGAGTATTGCAATTCATCATATCAGAAAGACATTAGCTGCATGACATACACCAATGTCCTGCTCCTAGTGATTTCTGTTATTCTGCGTGTCACTCTTAATCTATTCTCCCATGCCTAGCATTGATTGACCCATTCATTTGTAAATCATCCATATGACAGCTGTCGTAATCCTAAAATCCTCTGGCTTTTAGTTAAGCCTAGATGTAAAATAATCTGAAGAAATCCCTGAATTCTCTACAGGAACAACCCATCCTGAGAATGCTCTATTGGAAAATGTAACCTCCACATGGCTGCGAGAACAACTGAAAACCACAACTCATTCACTTTACCATTGTACCAGTGGTGGAATTCTAAATTTTTTACTACTGGTTCTGTGGCTTGGTGGGCGTGGCTTGGTGTGCGTTGCAGGGGAAGGATACTGTAAAATCTCCATTCCCACCTCATTCCAGGGGAAGGATACTGTAAAATCTCCATTCCCTCCCCACTCCAGGGGAAGATTACTGCAAAATCCCCATTTCCTCCTGATCAGCTGGGATTTGGGAGGCAGAGAATAGATGGGGGCGGGGCCAGTCAGAGGTGGTATTTACCGATTCTCCGAACTACTCAAAATTTTTGCTACCAGTTCTCCAGAACTGGTCAGAACCTGCTGAATACCACCTCTGCGTTGTACATATAATAAATAACTATTAATCCACATTCCTTCAATCATCATTTTTTTAAAAATCTAAATGGATCATCATTTGCATTTTATTGTATCATGAGTTAATAATATTAATACAGTATGTTGCAATTTCCTGTCCTTTAATTCTAGTGCCTGAGGTTATTGGCTTCTGTTACCTAATAGTAAGGTTTAGAACTAAAAACAGTTTGAAAAATATATATATATTTTAACTCACAGGCATCTCCTATAGTTTCAACTTTGTAGACATCATAATTATCTATGATTTCATCAAAAGTGGTATAGAGTTTGTTTAAAAAGTCCACGACCTGGTAAGGTGTACTGGTGCTGGAGAGCTGCGTGAAGCCAACAATGTCACTGGAAAGAAGAAAGAAGCAAGTAAGTCATGGTGTGTCCCATTAGGATTTCAGAATGTTTTGAAATTGACATGAGATTTTCATGACACATTGCAAATTCTGATCGTGCAGCACTGTTTCCTCTTCTACCACCATTAATCACCACTTTTCTCTGTGTGCCTTCAAGTTAGGCCTGGAGACTAAAACATATTAAGAATAGCTGCAGGATTTGGGTCTGGCTAGTCTAAAGAAAGGAAGAATTAGGTGTGACATGATAGCGGTATTCCAGTATTTGAGGGGCTGTCACAAAGAAGAGGGGGTCAAATTATTCTCCAAAGCACCAGAGGGCAGGGAAAGAAATAATGGGTGGAAACTGATCAGAGAAGTAAGCTGGAATTAAGGAGAAACTTCCTAACAGTAAAGACAATTAACCAGTGGAACAGCTTGCCTCCAGAAATCATGGGCATTCCATCACTGGATGTTTTAAAGAAGAGTCTAGAGACAGTCACTTATCTAAAATGGTATAGCTTTTCCTGCTTGAACAGGGGGCTGGACTAGAAGACCTCCAAGGTTCCTTCCAGATTCTATTCTATTCTATTCTATTCTATTCTATTCTATTCTATTCTATTCTATTCTACCCTACCCTACTCTTTATAGGGCTGAGAGGTTGGCGCAAGGTACCCAGCTAGCTTCACACCTAAGCTAGGACTAGTCTCCCAGTTTCTAACCTCCTCAACCACTATATCAAACTGCCTCTCATCTCCAAATAACCTGTAATAATTGGTTGCTATTTTTCAGTCAAATAAACGGCAAACTAAATTGTAAAGAAAAGCATGACCAGCATATCCCAATTGTTAGGCCAGTGGTGGGTTTCTACCGTTTTCACCCCGGTTCAGGCAAACCGGTAGTAGCGACAGCGGGAGGCTCCGCCCACCTGCTTGGACATTATCACAGACGCTCTGTGCACGCAAGCAAAGCGAGCGCATGCGTGCACACAGTTCCAAACCAGTAGCGAATGTATGTGGAACCCACTACTGTGTTAGGCCTTTAGTAGTTATTAATAATGTCAGGGCATTTACAGGAAGAGAAAGTATCAAGGATTATGGAATTCAATTTAAGAAATGTTATATCCAATGTATGTACTCAGTGTGGACTTTTGGAGGCTGTTGTTGTTTCAAAGCACTTTTGTAGCAGAAAATAAGAAACAGATTATTTCTGGGTTGTGCTTTAGTGTTTCTATTCTCAGCAGCCTCAAACTCTTTCTTAATAACTTCTAACATTATTACTTTGGACTGTAGTTTGAAGAAGGGCATGTAACGTAAATTACATTTTTTGGATTTTCTGGATTGCAGCATGTAACGTAAATAAAATAAAATACCGCTCTTCTATTGAAAAAAACAATCATTTTTGTTATTTTATAAATTCACTTAGTCTTACAGACTCTTAGTCTGGAAAATGACATTTCTACAGAGATATGCTATAATACAATATAAAGACTTAATTAGTTGATGAAAGGCAGATAAATTAAATGAAATTTTAATTGGTTGAAAATTTCATTCCCCAATAAGTAACAGTCTAGTCAGTTGAGGCTTTTAGCATTTCTGCCATTCCAACTGCTTTGTCGCTACCCACGGATACATGTGTTCAGATTTCATCAGCACCAATTATGTGCACTGTATGAATATTCATTTGTACTCTGTACATGTAATTCTGCTTCTACTCTTAATGAGTATATGTAGAATTCTAAAACTCATAGGGGCAAGCCCGTGTCATTATCTAATTTTATTTCTGGTTAGTCTAATTAAACTGAGTTCTGTTCTACATAAGCAAAGTTAATTCTTGAAATCCATTCTTAGCCTATCAGACTTTGTTTTGGCTTTACTTTTGATTTCCCAAGTATAGTATTGCACTAGTTCTGCCTACTCTAAGCACTTACACTGAGAGGATCATTAGTTTTGAGTTTTGGTTCCGTTGCTCAAGTGTTGCTTGAGTTAATTCCATCCATATCAATTTAATTAGCATTTTTAAATTAGCAGTTGAGAATTGAAATTAAAACAAGAAGATGCATGTGATTTTAAAGCCATACTTTGCATAGCACAAGTAGGTTTAAACTATACTGCCCTAATCCTGTAATATAGCTGCTGAGATTCCTGCAGGTCCCTTAATGTCAAAGGATGTTGTGAAAGTTCCATTTTTTTTAGGATAAAAAAAGCCAAAGGGGGGTGGGGTTGAAGGGGAGGCTATGCTGAATCATTTAAATTTAATTTACAAGAAGATTAGATAACCTCTTATCTATATATTAGGTTTACATCTGTTGGGCATATAAATCTCTCAGAGTTGTTTTCCCAGTTAGGTATAAATCATGCCCATCTGCAGACAAGCAGATGTAAGCATAAATCAGCAGACATTAATCTGCAGAATTTTAATGGACTTGCTTGCTGAACACAGGGATGTACAAGTCAGGCCAGTTTTAAAAACAGAGGTTTCTCTCAAGAAGAAAAGGAGGGAAGATCAAATAACCGTTAACATAAAATACTGTGCAGATTATTTCTCTATAATAATTAGAACAACTTTCTTTCTGCTAAAATGGCACTATCTCAATCCAACATCAATAGCTTTAGGATCATACAATTAAAATAGCAAAGAGAAGAGTTGCTAGAGAATACCCATATCCACCCTCATTCGTTCTATTCAGCTTGTTACTAATCTTTCTCATCAAACTACTTTTAATACACAGCTAATGAGCATTTTTCCACACAGGAAACACAATCAAGAAAAATAGGGTGGTTTAACTCTTTGGATTCCCAACAATAAGGTTTCTAGGTTTCCATGATAACTTGATAGTGTTCAATGAGAGAGGGGAGGGGAGGACAGGGAGGGGAGAGGGAGATGGAGATGTGAATGTGATCCATTTTCTCACTAAAGTTTTGCTCTTGATGAGAGGTTCTGGGATTGTTTTTTTTTAAAACTAAGAGATTCTGTGACCTGGAAAAAAATGTGCATACGCCAGGCATGAAGGATTTCTTTGGAGTAATGAGACTGGTGCCAGCTAGTCAGCTCTCCCCCGGAGTTTGGAGGGTTTGAAGCAGTGGTGAAATCCAAATATTTTTACTACCGGTTCTGTGGGCGTGGCTTGGTGGGCGTGGCTTGATGGACATGACAGGAGAAAGATACTGCAAAATCTCCATTCCCTCCTCACTCCTGGGGGAAGGATATTGCAAAATCTCCATTCCCACCCCACTCTGGGGCCAGCCAGAGGTGGTATTTGCCAGTTCTCCGAACTACTCAAAATTTCCACTACTGGTTCTCCAGAATCTGTCAGAACCTGCTGGATTTCACCCTTGGTTTGAAGGTGCCTTGTGGGAGCCAACGGGTTATTCAAATCAACATATCTTATATATGCACATACTGCATTACATCCCCCACCCAAAGGATCTTACCCTACTTTTTCTTTCAAAGTCCAATGTGGAATGAATATGCGGATCATAGCATAGATAAATAACATGCACACAACAACTGCTTCTTTGAATATAGATCATTAAGTATACTCAAGATGGTAGAAGAATATTTTACTCATCATAAGGACAAATAATATGTGTGTTCCAATTCGTAGGGTTTTTTAAAAAAACAGATAAATAGGCATTGTGTTCTTGTATAATAGCTTCTCTAAAGTTCAACATAGTATGCAGTGCTGTTAACTATAATGCCAATTGTGAAAAGATGTAAATGTATGCCTATAATGTAATTTACAGAACCTCTTCTTTCGAAATTATGCACACACTCCAATTAGCTAGCAATTTAAAAGCAATTCTTACTTACCTGAAAAATATGGTGGAATTTACATAACTTTGGGCCTGTGATGGTTTCCCCTGCCTTAAATCATCTGCAACCTGTTTTGGCAACATACCTGTTTTATATAATTAATGCAATTACTATTGCTATCATAACATGGCAATTGAAACATAGAAATAAGTTCACCGTGGGAAATCTATACCTATTTAAAATATATAACTATCTCATTTCAGCAAATAAACTATGTTTTAATTTACATCAAGAACCTTGAACTAGTTCCTTTATTTAAGCATTATCAAATGGATATGAAATTTGTTTTCCATTTCTCAAATTTCTAGCTATTAAAAAAACCAAAACATCCTAAAATGTGCATACTCTATTTTATTTTTGCTATCTGTCTCCTGGATTAAAAACTTACTTATGTATAGTATTTCTCTTTATTTCTAAGTAACTATAGCAAACTTTAAGATTTTTTTTTTTAAAAAAATCATAAATAGATAATCAACAGCTAAATCTATATACTTCTCATCAACAAATTTCCTCCCTTTGCTTCTTTGTCCTATGTTTGCTTTCCATTCATGTTTGCTGGGTGTTGGGCTTTTGGCAGCTGACTCAATTCAAAATAATTCTTTCCATACAGAATTTTCTTTGCAAGATTTATTTATTGACATGAAAGGGGAAAGAGTTACATAAATTTCAGCAACTGAACATTTCCAGTTGAGAACACCAGTGCTTAGGGGCAGAGACTTTCTTACTTTTGGCTTCTTTTTGTGAAAAGAATATATTTCTTTTGTGGTGAGAATATATTTCTTTTCATAGATAATGGAAGAACCATTAGATGGTTATTACAAATATTTCTGCTGAAACATTTTTCCAGCTATGAACCAATCATTATACTAAGGTTTATTGAACATTAATCATTAGTGAGCAATAATGATTGGTTTATATACTGGGATTTCTGGGACACCTTGAAAACAATATATTGAAGCATTAGAGTTTTCTTTGATGTTTTCAGTTTACCAATTTAACTGAGTTAATTGTACACCTTTTAAGCAATGCAAGTAGCAAAAACTAAGTGAAAATAAACTCTCCCTGGTATATAATGTTGACGAATCTGAATGAAGATGCTCAAAGTACAAACAAATTTAAGAATGTTTCCAATGGAAGCTTAATAATACATTTACCTGTCCTTATTTGTCTACTTTCAACAAATGTCAGCTTTCATTTGTTTCTTTTCCATGTCTTTTCCCTACTTTTACTAACTCACCCTATCTTATGAAATTGTAAAAAGGGGAAGTCAGAATACTTGAATCAGTGAGGAAATCTAAAATCTGTTTTAACAGCATATACATTAGTCATTATTTCTCAAAATAAATTGTATTCCTGTTGATGCTGATCACTTACTATACAGCAAACGGTCTGTCTTCTGTTTTTCATATGTTAAATCCTGTGTTCTTTCCGCTACTAACACTTCCAGGTGCTTGCTGTATTTCTCCATCTAGCCAAAATAAAAATGCATTCAACTCAAGCAACTGCGGAGCATATTCAGTGAGAAATAATCAGCGATCTATTCACTGGATTTGCCTTACATTGCCAACAGACTCCTGAGAAAATTTTGCACAGCTTTGCCCACGCAACTTCTGCAACAAAACAGAGGTGTGCGTCTGAAATCATTTCAATGCCACATGGCAATGATTAAAATGCTTAAAGGGGGCCCACTTATACAGGCAGTCAAGAAATAGTGCTTCAAAGAATACTTAAGCCTTGGCATCCAGCACTAGAAAGTGAGTGTGTTATGAAGTTACGTTTCAGGTTGCCTTTTTATGTTCTCATAGAGCCCTTAACAAATGCTATAGTATTGGAAACATTGTGGAGAAGAAGGAGAAAATGAACAACTTCCTACTCACTTTAGCCATTATCATTTTTTTTAGCACTGGGCAGCTGCTTTGAACAAATAAAATGTCTTGTTGACTGCTAGTAGATCTGGGCTGCAAAGTTTTGGATGACCACTAGGGAGCTGAAAAGAAGCTCAGAAAACTCTCTTTGGCGCCATCTAGAGGTCACCAGATTTTTTTTTTTGCAGTTTAGATCAGCCCTAGTCTTTTTTTCCTCTTGTAGCTCATTCTTAGGAGGAGCTTCCCAAACTCTATCCTTTCCCCACAAATGTGATACAGTTCTGCAAGAGAGCCAAATATGCGACTTCTGATGCCGTCCTTTTCTTGGACAACAGCATCTAGGGAATCAGGCTTTTTTATTTATTTACAAATGTCTCTGAAAATAAAAGCTTATTCTCTAGAAATTATGAAAGATGGATAATAGAAGGCAATGACTGAGCAATGGGATCCATCAAGAATATCAACAGCAAAAGATGGATACTTAAACACTTAGCATAATGTAAACAGAAAGGTAGTATCACTCTTTACCAAAAAAAAAAAAAAAAGCCTACTGATTTATAGATTGTGGCTATTATAGCTATTATTATTTTGTTATTTTTAGCAATTTATCAAAGCAATCTAACTCTAGATTATAATGGATTGTAAGAATAACCTTGAGGAGGAAGAGGAAGAGCCACGACCAAGAGTTTGATAGAAGAAATTTCATTCCAAAGCAAAAATGTAATTTGAAAAAAGCATCTTAGACTTGACTTGCTAGGTCAGGGGTCTCCAAACTTGGCAACTTTAAGACTTGTGAACTTCAACTCCCAGAATTCCTCAGCCAGCCATGTTAGTGAATTACAGGAGTTGAAGTCCACAACAGTGGTGGGTTGCCCCTGGTTCACACCAGTTCTATAGAACTGGTAGTAAAACTGGCGGGAGGCTCCGCCCACCGACCCCGACATCACCAAAATGCTTCTGTGCATGTGGCCCCGTTGCAAACTGGTACTAAATGTAAGTAGAACCCACCCCTGGTCCACAAATCTTAAAGTTGCCAAGTTTGGAGACCCTTGTCTAAGTCAAGAGAGGAAAGAGGGAATGACTATGTCACATAAGCCTACTGAGGTATGCCTATCACTCTCTTTGCCTCCATGGGCTGGCAAGCTAAAGTTTCTCAGTGGTATTTAAGAGTAGTTTCTTGTAGAATGTGCTGAAGTAATGAGATAACTAAGGCATGAATGATTGACTCAAGGACATCCTAGTTTAGGAAAAATGCAATTGGCACCCCAATTGAAATCAAAGGCCCTCCTGGCCACAGCCACCACCTGCTCCTCAAGCAGGACCCGAGTCCAGGACTAACAGATTGCACACTACTTTTTAATGGGGGAATCAAACATTGCTCAAATGATCCTAAATGATAGTCATCAGAGTAGATTTTTATTTATAAGTTTAGTATGCATGATAACTGCAGATCCCTCACTACTTATCAGCCATAGTAGGAAGACCAGACCAGGAAATTAAGTCTACAGGAAGTTAATTTTATTGGCAATGGCTATAAAAACAGAATTTTCCAAGTCTGCTTATGGTGTGTCTCTTCCTCCTATTCCTTATAGTTCAGTGCATTAGGGAGGTGTCTATCTCAGCTGCTTCAAAAAGTTATCCTGTAGTTTTGGACTTAAAAAAATGCTCCAGTCTATTTTGCCTATGTAATGGTTCTTGCATATCTCCATCAAGTAATCTGAAGTGATGGCAATACAAGAAAGGGAGTAAGAGAACTGAGAAAACGGAATGAATAGGAATGACAGATCTCAATTAGACTTACTTCCAGATGCAGAGTCCAGCTAGTATGAGAGAACTATTAAAGTGGCATAGATGACATTTTGTTGGAAAATATCAATATAGGCTCAAGGTTGACTCAGCCTTCCATCCTTTCTAAGGTAGGTAAATTGAGGACCCATTTGTGGGGGCAATAAGCTGACTTTGTATAAATATAAAAAAGGATGAAGGCTATTGCTGAGCACATTGTAAGCCGCCCTGAGTCTCCGGAGAAGGGCGGCATATAAATCAAATTTTTTAAAAAAAATGTTGGTAAAAGTTTGAGCACATGCTTCTTGTTATTGCCTTTTCGGTGCATGTTATTGGTTATCTCAATATTAGCAATGTTTAGCTGAATATGATAACAATAACACATCTGGAAAGGACCACATTAGGAAAGGTCACTATAGAACATTGTAATGACGTTCAAATGTATTGAAGGGTTGGAGACTTGGAAGAAAGAAAATCTAATCTAATTAGAGTAATAACCATGATTCTTACCAAAGTCATCATCATGTCAACTGGACTAACTTTATTTGGGTTCATTTTACATAACAATTTCTTGACTTGCTCAAAAGTAAGTCTTTGTGATGGATTGCCTTTTCTACATTTTCTGATGAGCTGTCAAAAAAATGAAAGAATATAGTACAGTAATTCAGTCATTCCAGTTCAAGATACCTGCCTCTTGATCTTTTCTTTCTATCATTCATCAGATGTCATCCAATTACAAATGTTGACAAATCCCAGTTTAATTCAACTTCAGATATAATCTATATGCAATTCAGGCATACTTTCCTCAGTTTTAAATACTTCCTTGCTTCTTTACCTGCTTATAGCTTCCTATACATAAAGCTGAATTTATCTCTCTGTCTCCTTTTTTTTTTTTAGAAAAATGTTATGCAGTCCAATCAATCAACTCTGAGTTGCTAACAATCAAATTATAAAACAAACTATAAAGAAAAGCCAACCCTCACAAATCTGAATGACAATAACTAAAATATCTAAACCCCTCTACTTAAATCAAATACCCACTCAGATAGGAGAGTCTTCATAGCTAAAGCCAAGAGTCCAGCTTTAGATCTCTTCAGACAAACTAGACATCTGAAAATAAATAGGAACTTCCATTTAGCTCATGAAGGTGATTTTCCCTCCCACTTAAATAAAATTTGGGCAAATCGGGATTGTGATTAGATTACGGAGGTGGGAGGGGGGATTTAACCTTTCTCCTAACAGACTCAATGATTCCTGTCCTCAAAATCTATTATGAGCCCTGGATTTGACGCTATGATTGGCCAATGCTAGGAGGATATGTGAAGACCAATAGTGGTGATTGGCTTTAACCTCCTCCCTGGACAATCCATTTTGATTGGTCGCATCAAAATTGTTGTTCAATAAATAGAGACACCTTAAATGTATTTCCTTTTATGTCTCATTTCATTCAAAAAACTGTGGTGATGATGATGATGATGATGATGATGTCTATCTCTTGGATTTTATAACCATAGAGAGGATGGATAATGAGTTTTAGCATTGGTTTGCGTGTATATTTAGTAAGTTATTTAATACACGTTGAGGACTTTTATAGAAGAAAAATGATCCATTTTTCAGCACCTGGTGTTAGTTTGGCTTTAATTCCTAAGAAATACTTCAGAATAGGCAGGGGAATGAATACGGCAGCTATTTGTGTCTTATTAAAGTAGGTACTGCAGCTATGCAATGGGTCATTGACAGGTGCTGCATTCACAGTTTCAAGTACTCCAAAGCATACTTTTTGGAAACACATTTAAGCCACTGCACAGTCCTCTTATATACACAAGTCACAAGGGTGTCCGTGATTGGTGGGCTAATTATAAAATATGCATGATGGTACAATAACCCTGGCCTGCATACTGGCATCAGGCAGGGGAAATTCAAATGCAAAAGAATGGGATTCGCATCATGGCATCATAATTCTCCACCCAGAGTCAAGTGCTGAGATGACTGGCCATAAAAATTGAACAAATAAATTCAAATACTGCAATTATTTTGACCAACACTCACTTTGATGGGAATGCCTATGATTGGTCTTGTTTTCTGTTCTTTTTTATATATCACAGAATTCACCTGAATTATTTTAAACTTCAGTTTTGAAAACGAGACAAATCAGAAATAAACCAGATTGTATGTTATTGCTAATGTTATAGTATGTATTGAAAATAGTCTGAGAATTTGGGTTACTTGCTTCAGCATAATCTAATCAGGAATTAGCCTATGGTTACATTAGTAACTTATTTTGGGCAAGAAATAACCATATACAAATGCCTATTTTTTTATTTCATTTGGCTTTTCAAATAGCATCTTCTAATCTGAATGAAAATAGACTTTTTTCTACTGTTTTTGCTAGCTATTCTGAGTGAAATGAATGAGGTGACAAGGAACTTCTGCTAGTGTTTTTTTAAAATACTTAATATCCTCAGTTATTGAATGCTTTGAAAATTGGAGAAATGATTCTGGAAACAAAATATTTAACTCTTCCATGCTATTTCTTTGATCTATATAGTGTATATCTCTTGGTATGTGTATGTGTGTTCACAAACACACATATACATATGCATATGCATACATTCTAGGAGATGCTCTTAATTCTTTTGGAAAAAATACATTCTGTAGATACAGTACTGTATGACTGAAATATCAGAGCAGTTGCTTCTAGGGTAATTAAACAAGAAAAAAGAATGAAATTAAAGCATGGCACAGTGATTCTTCAGTGATGAGCAAACATTTGATTTCTTTTTCTTGTTTAATAGATCCATCCTACAGACATATTTTTTGGCTCTCTGACAGCTATCTTTTAAATGGAAAAGCCAAAGATCCATAATTATTAAATATGATTGCGGGACTGACAGATTATACCCAACAGAAGTCTTAAACCTCCAAGGACTGCAAATTAACTGCATCATTTGCTGCCTTCTGTTTCTGTGAGACAAGCTGAAATATCAGTTTGTGACAATAATACAATTTTTTTTAAAGAAAAAATATTAATGCCATTCACTGTTCCATGGCATTTAAATGAGAAATTGTAAGGGCAACATTTGTTGGTTTGTGCTTTTAATAAAACTAAAACATTTCATTTCTTCAAAAGGGAATATGCACTGGAACCATTAAACTTGCCAACTTTTAGAGATCAAACTGTGTGCTTCATTTTGTGCTTAACAGCAACTTGACTTGCAGATACTGTTAAGTATGGAGGAGTTTCGATATCATGAAATAATAATACTCACGTACTAAGGCATAAACAGCAGGCCCACACAGTGATTTTTAGGGATATAAATTACAAAGATACAGTAATTCACTCATAACAAAGACAGAAAAGATTCCAAATGTTTTAAATTTACCTCTATATATTCTGTGGCACATGGACAAGCATTTTCAGATTTTTCAGATATTAATTCTGCCAAAGGGAGGCACAAGGAATATTTTTCTGACTGTGTATCATCCTTCTGCAAAACACAGACAGTGCTGGCGTTTTTTCACACATATACACATATAGAAATAGAGAGATTGGGAACATAAACTATTGCAGTCTGTGTTAAGAGCTGTGGTGGCACAGTGGTTAGAATGCAATACTGCAGGCTAACTCTGCTCACATTGCCAAGAGTTGATTCCCTCAATCCTGACCAGCTCAAGGTTGACTCAGCCTTCCATCCTTCCAAGGTCAGTAAAATGAGGACCCAGATTATTGGGGGCAAAATGCTGACTCTGCACACCGCTTAAACCGCTGTAAAGCACACTGTGGTACATAAGTCTCGTCACCTCCCGTCTGGACTATTGTAACGCTCTCTACATGGGGCTCCCCTTGAGGAGCACTCGGAGGCTCCAATTGGCGCAGAGTGCGGCCGCGCGGGTGGTAACGGGAGCGACATGGCGCTCCCATGTAACACCTCTCCTGCGCGAGCTGCACTGGCTCCCGGTGGTCTTCTGAGTGCACTTCAAGGTCTTGGTTATCACCTTTAGAGTGCTCCATGGCTTAGGACCTGGTTATTTACGGGACCACCTGCTACCACCAATAGTCTCCCACTGACCAGTATGCTCCCATAGAGAGGGGCTCCTCCGGGTGCCGTCAGCCAAACAATGTCAACTGGCGGCCCCCAGGGGGAGAGCTTTCTCTGTGGGGGCACCTACTATCTGGAATGAGCTCCCCCTGGAGATACATAGGATCCCGGATCTGCGTACCTTCCGTCGCGCGCTCAAGACGTTCTTATTTCATCAAGCTGGCCTGACCTAAGTCTTTCCCCTTTTTAAATGGAAATTTTAAATTTGGTTTTAAATTATTGGGGTTTTAAATTTGTTCAGCCAAATTATTTAATTAGTTTTATTTTATTTTAAATTTTGTATTTATATGTTTTATTCTATGGCTCTTCACCTCCTTGAGTCCTTCGGGAGTAGGGCGGTACACAAATTCAATAAAATAAAAAAATAAAATAAATAAATAAGTCTACACTGTGGTATATAAATCTAAGTGCTATTGCTACTAGATGTTATGTGCATCAGGCCACTCTTTTGGGAACTTCGGCTATCACTCTTTGCACAGTGAATTTAGCTTTATGGCTCTGCTTGTCAAGGTTTATAGGAAGGTAGATGTATGGACTCACAAACTGGGTTTGTTATAGCTGTTATTTCAACTCTAGCCTGGAAATGATACAGCCCTTTTAAGAGGCAGATTTTGCACATTTGAACTATTATTGCACATTTCAGCCAATGTATGTAAAAAGTCTATAGGAAGGTTCTTGCCCATCACTGGTGATCCTAGATCAAATTACAAATTATGTAATTTTGAAGGGAAATTCTAGGGGCATTAGTGAGTCATGGTGACGCAGTGGTTAGAATGCAGTACTGCAGGCTACTTCTGCTGACTGCTGGCTGCAGTTCGGCAGTTCGATTCTCACCAGCTCAAGATTGACTCAGCCTTCCATCCTTCTGAGGTCAGTAAAATGAGGACCCAGATTGTTCGGGGCAATAGGCTGACTCTGTAAACTGCTTAGAGAGGGCTGTAAAGCACTGTGAAGCAGCATATAAGTCTAAGTGCTATTGCTAGTCCTATTGCATAAATAGAAATCTTCTTAAATAATAAAGGATTTTGTTCTAATTTCTTTGGTTTATGTTTACTTCCTGAGTTGTATAAAAAGGCTTAGTTAGCTTTCTGGGAATCCACTTTTTCTTTAAATGCAGTCCATTAGTTTCATGCAGAGCGGTGGGTTGTGTTCATGTGGAATGAATTACGTCCGTAGCTTATACTGAACTGCCACAGCTAAAGAGAAAGCAGGTATCAGAAATCCAGTGGATATACGCATTTACCCCAAAGACCAGCAGTATCTTCAAGGACACCAGTACCAGCAAGATTAACTTTAATGAAGAACCATATTTTATGGCATTTCTTACCTGTGATGGATCACTTCTTGTGGCTATTTCTAAAAGAATGATAGCGTAGCTGTAGGATTGAAGCCAAAACATTATAAGATAAGCAGAAGTGATTAAAAAATTGAAAGAAATCAAACAGACTCTAATCTAGCTCAGATTAATCACGACCAAGTCCTCTGAAAACAATAAAACTTGAGTTCCCTTGTTTTCAAAGAGACAGTGCCATATAAATAAGATGAGCTGAATACAGTCGCCTTGTCTCTGCAATAGATCTCATTAATGAAGCCTTTTCATCACAATGGATTGCTGCTTTGTCTCCTTTAAATATTTAGTCATCTTCCCTCACATAATCATTTCAGCCTATTAATTACTCTTAGTAATTATAAACATATTGCAAATTTTTATGGCACGTAACTAAATACCCTGATATTATTTCATAGGATCAATGTAAGCAATTGTGCAGAATTACAGAGAATTGATTAGAAATAGGCCACGAGTATGTAGCATATCGGGTTAGCCAGCAGGAGAATTCAAGTTCTCTGCATATTTTTTCTTTATAGATACAGTATAGTTAAATGTATTTAAGTTTTGTGCACTAAGAAAAAAGGACCAAACAATGTAGCTTCAGTAAACTAATAATCACATCCAGATGTCTAAATGAGTATTTAAAACATGCCAGAGACCAGGGGTGGGCTGCTATGGGTTCACCCGGATCTGGGTTCGGGAGAACCTGTAGCTAACGTTATGGCCAGTTCAGAGAACCTCCAAATCCCACCCCTGGCTGGTCACACCCACCTTACCCCTTCCAAGAGTCTCCACGTGACCCATTTTGGATGCGAGGTAAGTGCAGAGCCCGTGTGGAGGCTCGAAGAGGGGGAAAAACGGGCCTCCCGGAAGCTCTGGAGAGCCTCTGGAGCCCGTGGGAGGCAGTTTTCACCCTCCCAGAGGCACAAGGAAAACCTCTGGAGCCTGGGGAAGGTGAAAATGCCCCCCCCACCATGGTGCAGGAGGCCGACTAGGCCACACCCAGCATGGCCACGCCCACCCAGCAACTGGGCAGGGAACCCGTTGCTGAAATTTTTGAAGCCCACCCGTGCCAGAGACTCATACAAACTGTATCCTTTTCAGATAAGTAGCAGACTTGGATATGGAACGGAAATGGCAGTGGCTGTCTTTTGAATGAAGTCTGGTATTGGTGGGATGGTGGCTGTGTATCTATCCTTGCTTTACTTGATCTCCCAGTGGCTTTTGATATCATCAACCATGGTATCTTTCTAAATTGACTCAGAGGATTGGAGGTGGGGGCCACTGTGTTGTGCTAGCTTTCCTCTTTTCTTCGAGGTTGATTCCAATCGGTGGTGATTGGGGAGAAGAGATTCCACACCCATCCCTACTCTGTGGGGTGCTGCAGGGATCGGTATTCTCACCTCTTCCATTTAACATCTACATGAGATCACTGGAAAAGCTCATACATCATCATGGGATGAGGTCAGTATGCTGATAACACCCAATTGTACATCTCTGCCTCTGGAAAAATTAAGCAATGCTGTGGACATCTTTTCCTAAATCTGAACATTGTGAAGATCTGGGTGGGAAACAACAGGCCTCAACAGGCAAGACTTAATGAGTTTGGGTTTTGAGGCCCTCTGATCTTAGGACTATACTATCTTTGCTACTGAATGGGGTTGCATTGCCCCAAACAGACCCTGTGGACAAGGTGGGGGTCCTCCTGGACTCATGACTCCTTTTTGATGAGGTGGCAGTTGTGACTAGAAGGACCTTTGCTGCAATTTCATATTGCGTACCCATTCCTGGATCAAGGAGACCTATTCTCCTTGGTCCCGATCACCACCTGGTTGGTTGCAATGAGTTCTTCATGGGGCTGCAACAGTAGTGGGATTCAAATCCCGGCGCTACCAGTTCGTTATTGGTAGTGCACGGGCACAGGCGCTCACTTTACGAGCGTGTGGCACTTCTGCGCATGCGCAGAGCGTTTTTGATGGCATCTGGACGGGTGGGAGGAACCTCCCGCCGCCACTACCGGTTCGCCTGAACTGAGGCGAACCAGGAGCAACCACTACTGGGCTGCAAGCAGTTATGTGAGTCTCTTGCAGAACATGCTTTATATCTCTGCTTCTCAAGCTGTACTGCTCACCAGTTTATTTTCATGTTCAATTTCAATGTACTGGTGTTGACCTCTAAAGTTCTTCATGGCATGGGATCAGGTAATTTGAGGGACTGCCTCACCACAGTTTCACCTGCTCACACATCCCACCAGATGCAGCAGAGAGGGTATGCTCAGGTTTCATTATCTAGGGAGCTACATTTAGTAGGCCCTTCATGGTGGGCCTTCTCTGCAGTGGCACCCACATTATGGGATTTTCTCCCCACTGAAATGAGGTTGGTTTCATTTTTTTCTGAGTTTCCCAACATCCTCAAGATTAGGTGATGGGTGAGTTAATAAGCTGACTCCATTACTGTTAACATTATTGTTAACATTCCTTCATCTACTTTTTACTTTAGCTTATTTTATAGTTTTGGATGATTTAGTTAATAATTATGATTTTTAGCTATTTATTCTTTTAACTTGTAAGCCACCCAGTGACATTAGTTTTGTGTAAATTTGATAAATAAATAATAAATAAATTGTCACAAGTAAATGCCTTATTCTCTGATGTGTAAATAGTATATGAACGGGATGTCAGGGGTTAATTTATTCTTCATTTCTTAATGTATTCATACTTCACCACTCCCATATCTAGCTCCACCCATTGTATATATAAGGAGCTACACACACTCTCTTCTTTGCTTCTATCTGTGAATATTCAGTGAATATAGAATGCCTTATGTAAATAAAAGAAAATATATTTGAACTCTTAATTCTCTCATAACTTATTGAGTCTGATCCTGAAAATATTGCAACAAGCTGGTAGCAGAGAGATGGTTAAATTGACTCAATAAAAACTTAAATATGTCTAAGAGAGATAGGCCCAACACCAGGGCATACAGCAAAGAAATGGAAACGGATCAAGAAATACTTCCTGTTTGCTGCTGGCCGCCGCCAGACGTTCCTTAGGGATCGTCAGCTTCCACTGCCTGTCAGAGCCGCCTTCACAACGGAACGGCGGCTCGAAAAAACTCCGTTCCCATGAGGAAACGGAGATAGAGCCGGCAGGGGTGGGTAGAACTCTCTGCAGAGTCCCAAAAGTTTTTCTTTTACTTTTGGGATGGAGCGGATGAGATGCCCCATATCCCCAGCCGTTGCTCCGGGCTTTGGGAGACCTCTGCTAATGCAGAGCCAGGCGTCAAAAGCAAGCTTGCGAATTTGACAGATTACTCAAAGAAAATGTGAGCTGGACCTGTAATACTGAAGCGCAAGTATTTTACTTATCTTTTAAAAATTACTTAAGAGAATAGAGGAAGAGAAAGAGGAAAAAAGTTTCTTTTTAAAATGGCGTCTGCCGCGGCTGGAGAAGAGTTTGAGAGGGAAAGTTCTTCCGTTTTTTATTATTACAATGTAGCGGAATAAATACCACTGGCTACATTTGTAGACAAAACTCCGCTCCTGTTTTTGTTTTTCTCTTTTTTCCCTGGAGGCTTGAGTGTTGCTGGCTGGAAGTCTTTTGTCTTGTTTTTTTTTTTTCTTCTTCTTCTAACAAAGCCTGCCTAGGCGGAAACATGGCACTGAGGCTTGTGAAGTCAGACAAACAAATAGGTGGGGGGGATTCCCCCACCAAGAATTTAAAGCAATATGTTTTAACTCTTCAGTCCCAGAAACCTGATTTTAATATAATAGAATTTCTCTTAGAGGAGATTGAAAGAAGGGATGAGATTGTGAATCAGCAACTTGAAAAATTTAAGCAGGAAACTAAGGAATTGGTGAAATCCAAGTTTGACTTTTTGCAGCAAAAAATTTTAAAATTGCCAGAATTCATGATTCGGTTGGATACAAATACTAATTTACTAGAGTCAAAAATGGATGAAATTCAAGATAAATTGGACAATAGAATTCAAAAAATTGAAAATGATTTGTTAAATATTCAGGATTATAGTTCAGAAGAAAAATTTAAAATGGATGCTGACCAAAAGTCTGGTAATGTAGAATATCTGGAACAGAGGATTCAAAAAGAGGTTCTAAAGATACAATATAATTTCACAGAATATGCAATAAGACTTAGAGGTTTGCAGGAAAATAACAGAGATGACTTAAGGAAAATATCTTCTGAATTTCTAGCTGGGATTTTAAAGATTCAACCTGAGGAAGTGTTTTGTAGGATTGACAGAGCTTATCGAATAAACTCTTGGACTGCCAAGCAAAGGCAATTGCCTAGATGTGGTAATCTATTTTTCAGATAAAGAAATTAGGAATAAAATTGTGCAAAATTCCTTCAATTCTAATTTGCAATTGTATGGAAGAAAGATTTGGATTTACAAGAACTCCCACCTAAGATAATAATGGAAAAGGAAGAAATTTGGCTTTCTGGTGTCTGAGTTAAAAAGGAGAAATATTCAATTCGCGTGGGACGTCCCAGTTGGTATTATATTGAGATATCAAGGAGAAAGATACCAGTTAAATACTGTTGAAAGGGCGGAAGAATTTTATCAAAATAGGTTGAAAATGAATTTAACGTCTTCAGATATAATACAGGATAAGCAGAAGGAGCTGGAACTAAAGACAGAGACTGTACCAGATAAATTGCCTTTGGATTTATCGGATACCCCAGCTGGATTATCTACAAATTTGAGAGAAGTGCCATCTGATTTTAATGTGATGACTTATCAAGGCAAGGACAAGCATGGAAACCAATTAGAGGATATACAAGGGATAAAAAAGAAATGCGAGACACAAAAAATTAGGATGGAGGTCAAACCCACAAAAAGAAAACAAAAAAAGAAATAGGTTGTACAAAAATAGAAATTTCTAACCCAAGCAACAGTGAAGCCAGTGATTTTAAAATATGAATGATTATGTGAAAACATAGAGGAGGCGACATATTGGTCAATATCATCCTGAGGATAGTGGCAGATCTCTGCATTGCCGTAATTTTGGGACATGGAAAGAGCCTCAAA